TGTGAAGAAAAGTAAGAAGAATCAAATTATTACAATCAGAAATGAAAGTGGGGACATTACTATCAACTTATTACTACAGATAATAGAAGCATTGTAAGAGGACACTATGGACTACTCCCCTGGACTCCTTGGTAGTCTGTCACGGGGAGATCCTTGTTGCTGTTCCTTCACCTCCTTCAGCCTTGCAGAACCTTACAAGTCCCTGTCATATGTGAGTGCATCTCCATGTTGGTTAGGCTGATGCCCAGATTGGCAGTTCCTGCTGGGATTTCTACTGCCTGGAACATGGGATCTAGCCTGAAGGCAATACCAAGTGACAAGAATATTGTGGAAGGAAATGACTCCTTCAACACTTTCTTCAGTGAGACAGGTGCTGCCAACCATGTGACAAAGGCAGTGTTTGTAGACGCTGAACCCACAGTCATTGAAGAAGTTCACACTAGAACCTACTGCCAGCTCTTCCACCCTGGTCAGCTCATCACAGGCAAGGAAGATCCTGACTATAAGTATACCTGAGGGCACTATTGCATTGGCAAGGAGATTATTGACCTAATATTGAACCGAATTTGCAAGCTGGCTGAGTAGTGCACAGGTCTTCAAGGCTTCTTGGTATTTTACTGCTTTGCTGAGGGGATTGGCTCTGGGTTCACCTCTCTGCTGGTGGAATGTTCTTTCTGCTGATTATGGCAAGAAGTCCAAGTTGCAGTTCTCCACATACCCAATCCCCCTATATTTCTACAGCTGTAGTTGTGTAACTCTATCTTCGTCTCCACCATAGAGCAATCTGATTGTGCCTTCTTGGTAGACAATGAGACCATCTATGATATCTGTGGAGAAACCTCAATATTGAATGCCCAACTTATACTAGCCTTAGCTGCCTTATTAGCCATATTGTGTCCTCCATCATTGCTTCCCTCAGATTTGATGAAGCCCTGAATATTAACCTGACAGAATTCTAGAACAAAATGGTGCCCTGTCTCTGCATCCACTTCCCTCTGACCACATATGCCCCATCATCTCTACTGAGAAAGCCTATCATGAACAGCTTGCTGTAGCAGATCACCAATGCTCACTTTGAGCCAGCCAACCGGATAATGAAATGTGACTCTTGCCATGATAAATACATGGCTTGTTACCTGTTGTACCATGTGGGCATGGTCCCCAAAGTTGTCAATGCTGCCATCACCACCATCCCATCAAGACCAAGCCTACCATCCAGTTTGTGGATTGTTATCCCAGTGGCTTTAAGGTTGGCATTAATTACCAGCATCCCAATGAGGTAGCTGGTGGAGACCTGGCCAAGGTACAGAGAGCTGTGTGCATGCTGAGCAACACCACAGCAGTTGCTGAGGCCTAAGCTTGCCTGGACCACGAGTTTGACATGATGTATAGTAAGTATGCCTTTGTTCACTGGGATATGAATGAGGCCCGTGTGGACATCCCTCCACCCTTGAGAAGGATTATGAGGAGGTTGGAGCACACAGTGCTGAGGGAGAGGATGAGGGTGAAGAGTATTAACCCTTTTCCTACAATTTTACACTGATTTCTTAACAATCCATGAATCCATACTGATACGCAGAGAGACAGAGGGAAAGAGAGAGAAACAGAGAGACAAAACAAAATGAGACAGTGAGAGAGGCCGATGGGGTGACAAGAGGAGGAAAGTTGCTTAATGTAGATAGGGAAAGCTGAAAAATGTAGAAGAAATAGAAAATCACTATTTTTAACCTCTATGAACTCAAATAAAACTTAGGCATAAAGGTTGTTTGGCTCTATTTATCTATCATTCTATCTATCCAGCCATCCACCTATAAGCAAATGCAGATCTTACACCATATAAAATTTAACACTAAAGGAATCAAAGAATGGAATGTGAGAGCTACAGCTGTAAAACTCTTAGAAGAAAACATGAGGAAAACTTCATGACATAGGAGTTGGCAATAATCTTTTGGATATGATGCCAAAAGCACAGGCAGCAAGAGAAAAAAATAGATAAACTGGACTTCATAAAATAAAAAGCTTTTGCTCACCAAGGGACACTATCAACAGAGTAAAAAGGACATCAACAGAATGGGAGAAGATATTTACAAATCATATGTCTGGTAAAGATTAATAATCAGAATATATAAAGAACTCCTGCAACTCAACAACAAAAGAAACCAAAGAACCAATTAAAAAAGGTGCAGCAAACTTGAATAGACATTTCCCTGAATATGATATGTAAATGGCCAGTAAGCACATGAAAAGATGTTCAACATAATTAATTATTAGAGAAATGCAAATAAAAACCATCAAAGATACCATTTCACATCCATTAGGATAGCTATTATTTTAAATAATACAATTTATTTTTATTTTCCTTGAGATGTAGTCCCACTCTGTCACCCAGACTGGAGTGCAATGGTGAGATCTCAGCTCACTGCAACCCCCACCTCTCAGGTTCAAGTGATTCTACTGCCTCAGCTTCCCAAGTAGTTGGGGCTACAGGTGTGTGTCACCATGCCTGGCTAATTGATATATATTTTAGTAAAGATGGGGTTTACAATGTTGGCCAGGCTGGTCTTGAACTCCTGACCTCAAGTAGTCTGCCTGCCTTGGCATCTCAAAGTGCTAGGATTACAGACCTGAGCTACCACAGCTGGTCTGGTTTTTTTCTTTTTTTAAATAGAAATGGGATTTTGCCATGCTGCCCAGGCTGGGCTCATGTCATCCACCTGCTGTTGCTTCCCAAAATGCTGGGATTACAGGTGTGAGCCACTGCACCCAGCTGAGGTAGCTATTATTATTATTTTTTTAAATCCCCAGAAAATAACAAATGTTAGTGAGAATGTGAAGAAATTGAAACCCTCGTGCATTTTTGGTGGGTATGTGAAATAGTGCAGCCACTGTGGAAAATGGTACGACAGTTTTTCAAAAAATTATGTATAGAATTATCATGTGACTCAGTAATTCCACTTTTTGGTATCTACTTTGAAATAATTGAAAGGACCCAAACAGATATTTGTACATGCATGTTCATGACAGCATTATTTACAAAAGCCAGATAGAAGTTATCCAAATGTCCATTGTCAGAGGAATGGATAAACGAAATGTGGTATATACATACAATGGAAATTCGGCCTTAAAAAGAAAGGACATTTTTATATGTGCTACAACATGGATGAACCTTGAGGACATTATGCTACATGAAATAAGCCAGTTTCAAAAGGGCAATGTTGTGTGATTCTACTTATGGAGGTACCTAGATAGGGACATTTAAAAAGACAGGAAGTAGAATGGTTGTTGCCTGAGGCTGGGGGGAGGGGAAAATAGGGAGTTAGAGTTTAATGTGTGCAGAGTTTCAGTTTGGGAAGATGAAAACGTTCTGAAGATGGATGGCGGTGACAGCTGCACACCAATGTAGATGTACTTAATGCCATTGAACTGTATACTTAAAAGTGGTTTAAAATGGTAAATTTTAGACTATGTATATTTTACCACAATACAATGAATGTAATTAAAAGAAAAGCAAATATGGGAACATGATATCAATGAATAAAACTAGAGAAGGGTATAATGGGTGTTCAGAATTTCTCTTGTATGGTTGAAGATTTTCAAAATAAAAAGCTGGGGATAAGACTCTCTGGGTGGGTTTGGCCAGCAACAATAAGAACAGGATTCTCAGCTCTCCTTTTTTGGCCACTGTGCTTCTGTGGTGGGGCTGAAAAAGAAGTGCCGATGTGTGACAGATAAATCACTTGACACCCCACACTCTGTATATGATTCTGCTCTTTTCTCACGTAACTGTACAGTTATCACACTTCAAGGCATAAAATTATCCTTTTCTCTGAGGAGGAGAGAATTTTTAGGCACCAGCGGGGAATATAAACCAAAGGAAAAGAAAACAAAACAGTAAGAGAGAAAAAGCAAGAGTGGGAGAGAACTTGTTGGCTTCTCTAGGGAGGAGCTAAGGTTGTGAGTTGAAGGCAATGGGGACTGAGGAGATATGAACAGGAAGGATGGCTTTCCCTGTATGGCCTGCCCAAATGCCCTTACAAGCAAACAACCACACAGAAAAGAAAAACAGCCAGAAATGAAGACTCCCTCCTCAAGGGAGTGAGCACACTGAAGAAGAGAATTTGTAGATAAAGAAGAGAAAATAACTCCAAAGGAGAAACAATCGCTTTCCTCTTTCATCCCCTTCAGGCAAAGGTCCAAAGGTGAGGGCAGAACATAAAGGGGAGCGGAGTCAAGTCTGAAACTGGATACTCAGACATTTCTTGCAGCATTACCAGGAAGGAAGCTGAGGAGGTGATTCTGGCAGAGTGCCTGTGATGTGAGAGAGCCACAGCCTGCTTGAAATTTAGCAGAAGCACCAAGAAAGGTGTGGAGGCATTTTATAACTGAGTGGGTAGCTGAGAGAGTGAGGCAAAGGCCAGCCTTATATGCCAGCAGGCAGTTGAGGAAAGCCCAGCGGGGGAATCCTATACACATCTTGCCACGGCCAAGAAGCAGCTCTGCAATTCCATGGAATTCCCACACTAGGGACCTGATGGAGAACTGGCGTCCACTTGCCAGTGCCTCCACCTGGCACTGGCCATTCCCAGAGGACTGGCATCATTAATGGGCAAAGCATAATATGGGGAACACCCACTTCTGTCCAACACTGGCATTAAGCCAATTGTAAGCAAACCACCTCTCCACCCCCAACCCATCGTATGCTCCCAGTGGCGGTAAGTGGTAGTCCTGGGGGTTTGAGGTAATTAAATGTGATAGAAGGATCACAAAAAATTTGCAATGTAGGGAGATAAGGTTGCTTGGAAATGGATCTGAGAATCCTCTACAACAACCTTCAATGGAGTTTTGAATATGATGTCAAGGAGGATGTGGGATCTTCCCTTCAACATATCGAATGATGGATTTCCCTTAAAAATGCTTCAACCCATCCTTGCCTAGTGCTGCAGACATGCTGAGACCCTCTTTGTTGCTGCTGTGTACTGTGAGCCCCTCTTGGTTTTTACCGTTTCTTTTCAGGAGCATCTTGGCATAGTCTGCGTCATGGACAATGAAGAACATCGTAAAGGGTCCAACCCACAGGGGAATGGCACATGGGTATTTTTCCATCAGCTCATGGTACACCTCAAACTCCTTTACTGGGTAAAACTGTTAAGATAAGTCATGACTGGTTAGTAAAGGTTGTCACTCCAGGAGAATCCCTCTCCCTCAGATGTACCATGTGCTAAGTTGAGGGCCTGTGGACAACACCCCATCGGACAGGTTCACGCTCCGCTGAAGGCAAGTTTTCTTCTCCATGTGTCTCCAGCATCTCCACAGAATCTTCCGGGCACAGGGCAAGTGCTCAGAACCTGTTGCTGAGTGACTGGTCTTCTCACTCCAGCATCAACTTTGGAGATTTAAGTTCAAATCCCAATCTGACACCTTTCTCATTATTAGGTCATCAGGGCCATGATTTCCCAATATTTTTAATAGGAAAACCAAATCTATTTCACAAAGCTGCCATGAAAATTAAGTGAAGTTATAAACATAAAATTCCTGGCACAAGGTAAATCCTTTGTAACCACTGACTCCCTACCTCGTCTTTGCTCTGGATATGCCCACTCATGCTTTATATTTGCCTGCAAAGCAGCGAAATCTCACATGCCTTTTACTCTTTTGCGGTTGCTGCTCATCTTTCTAGTTTCCTTTCTAATTTGCTAAATGTTTTCCTATTTCCAGCTTCAGGAGCGGCTGTAACATTTTTGTACGTTTCCTGTTAACGATTGGCTTGCTCTACTTCTCTGTAGAACACCCCGAGTCCTGAAAGTAGTAAGGAACTTGGCCTTGAATCGGAAGACTAAGGTTCAAGTTTCATTTCTATCATTTATGAGGTGGGTAGCACAGGAAAGCAGCAGCTCTATTTTAGGGTTCAGTTTTCTTAGCCATAAAATAAGAATAACAATATATTTCCTTCCCATATCATAGAATTTTGGTAAAAATCAAAATGAGATTGGTGTGAAAGCATCTTGCATATTACATAATGCCCCATCAGTCTGGACTGTTTTCTTTTTTTTTAATACCTCATCTTTCTGTCCCCTAACCTTCCAAACTATTTTTCTCCTCTTACCTCCTTGTGGCCGTAGAACCAGTGTGCAGGTGGTGCAGGAAACAGGTGCAAAGCTCTGATCAGCCGTCTCCTCCTCTGGTACAACCTGATTACTTGAAACAGCAGCAGGGACATGCAGAAGAGGATGAGCAGCAAGAAGGGGTGAGCCATGAGTTCCTGAAGCCAGGAGGGCTCCATTCTTCTTGGAGGTCCTGAGCTCTGGAGAGCCTGAGAGAACTGAGCAAGGGACAATGCAGTTCTCTCATAAACACAAAGGAGATGCCTCCTGGGCAACGCTGGCTTTCAAAATGCCATATTCAGGGAGAGGGATATAAGAGGAAGCCTAATTAAGCCTGCAGGGTGAAAAGTGCTGAGATGTTGGCCAGCAGTCCCTAATTCCAGAACTAGATTTTCAGATAGGAGCCCTGTGCATGACAGCTCATACCCATATGAAAGCTTGGCTGCACAGCGTGCCCTTCCAGAGTCTAAAAGTTCCCATCTAACCATCCTTTGTAACACGTCTATGCATTCTTGTAAAAAAATCTCTCTCTCTCATTCTCCATTCTTTTTTGTTTACATTTCTGATATAATTTGTCTTTTTAGAGAAGTTTCAGGTTCACAGAAAAATTAAGCAGAAAGTATAGGGAGTTCCCACATATCACCCCTCCCTTCCAGCTTCCCTGATTATCAACATCCTCCACCAGAGTATAATATTTGTTACATTTAACGAACCTACAATGACACAGTATTGTCACCCAAAATCTATAGTTACATTATGGATCACTCTTGGTGTTTTACATTCTGTGGGTTTTGTCCAATGTATGACATGTATTCACTTTGACATGTATTCAACTTTGGAGATTTAAGTTCAAATCCCAATCACTTTGCTAAAAAGTCGTCTGTGCTCTGACTATTCATGCCTTTCTTCCTCCATCCCCTGGCAACCACTGATCTTTGTACTGTCTCTATAGTTTTGCCTTTTCTAGAATGTCATATAATTTGAATCGTATAGTGTGCAGCTTTCTCACATTGGCTTCTAGAAATCTCTTCTGAGCAAGCACGAAGGGCCAGGTTGGTAGGTTTGAGAAAAGGGCATCTTAAGCTTAAAAGTTTTTTAAAAGTTAAAAGGCTGGGAAAAAGCTTTTTATTTATCTTGGGGAAAAAAAATCTATCAAAAAACTGTCAAAGAATTTCTGTTGGCCGAAAGCGATGGCTCACACCTGTAATTTTAGCACTTTGGGAGGACTGCCTGAGCAACATGGCAAGATTTTGTCTCTACAAAAAAAAAATTAGCTGGGCACATTGACACATGCTGGTGGCCCCAGCTCCTCAGGAGGCTGAGATGGGAGGCTCACTTGAGCCCAGGAAGTTGAGACTTCAGTGAGCTGTGTTTGCTCCACTGCACTCCAGTCTGGGCAACAGAGGGAGAACTTGTATATATATATATATTTTTGAGACAAGCGTTTCGCTGTTGTTACCCAGACTGGAGTGCAATGGCACGATCTCAGCTCACTGCAACCTCTGCCTTCTGGATTCAAGCAATTCTCTTGCCTCAGCCTCCCGAGTAGCTGGGACTACAGGCGTGCACCACCTTGCCCAGCTAATTTTTGTATTTTTAGTAGAGACGGGGTTTCACCTTGTTGACCAGGATGATCTCGATCTCTTGACCTCGTGATCTACTGCCTTGGCCTCCCAAAGTGCTGGGATTATAGGTGTGAGCCACCATGCCCGGCCAAAAAAAATAATTTATATGAAAGAGAAGATACAAACAATTATTACATGTCAACTACAAATAAAAGAAAAAGTAAAGAAAAAAAAAGAAGAGAGGAAAGGTACAGTCCCAGAACAGAGCAATACTGAGGAAACGCCTTGGTCTTAAAGTCAGAAACTTCAGGCTCTGATGTTTATATTCAGAATGCAAAGGAGTATTCTAGTGTCTTCCTGAGGTTGTTAGAAGGGGAGACTTTTTACATCAGCATCCTTAACAACGTACTTGCATGTGTGTCTGACCTGTGTCTTAAAGGAAGCAGACTCACAGTTTTCGGCTTCTCAGGGAGCCTGCAGTGGTGATCCAGTTCCTTCAAAGGCTTTGTAGATTCTGTCGGCTTTCCTGGTATGTTCCTGCAGTAGTTCTTGGAGTAAAAGTTAATGGTGTGAGTCTCCACACACTGTTCTGCCTGAGTGGGAGCCGCAAGCTAGTTCTGCCTCCTATCTGTCATCTTCAACCTATGTCTTTCTCTTGCCTGATTGATCTGGCCAGGACTTTCAAGACTATGTTGAATAGGAGTAGTGAGAGAGGGCATCCTTGTATTGTGCTGGTTTTCAAGGGGAATGCTTTCATCTTTTCCCCATTCATTATGATGTTGAATTGGATTTGTCATAGATGGTTCTTATTATTTGAGGTATGTTCCTCAATACATAGTTTATTTAGAGTTTTTAATATGAAGTGATGTCCAATTTTATCAAAAGCCTTTTCTGCATCTATTGAACCAATCATTTTATTTGTGTATTTAGTTTTGCTTTTGTGATGATCCGCATTTATTGATTTGTGTATGTTCAACCAACCTTGCACCCCTGGGATGAAGCCTACTTGAGCATCATGGATTAGATTTTTGATTTGTTGCTGAAATTTGTTTGCAAGTATTTTGTTGAACATGAACATCAATGTTCATCAAGAATATTGATCTGAAGTTTCCTTTTTCAGTTGTGTCTCTGCCAGGTTTTGGTGTTGGGATAATGCTGGTCTCATAGAATGAACTAGAGCAGAGTCCATCCTCCTCAATTATTTGGAATAGTTTCAGTAGGGATGCCACCAGTTCTTCTTTGTCCATCTGGTAGAATATAGCTATGCATTAATCTGGTCCTGGGCTTTTTTGGGTTGGTAGGCTATTCATTACTGATTCAATTTTGAAGCTCATTATTGGTCTGTTCAGGGATTTGATTTCGTCCTGGTTCCGTCTAGGGAGGGTGTATGTGTCCAGAATGTATTATTCTCTTCTAGATTTCTAGTTTGTGTGCATAGAGGTGCTCACAGTAGTTTCTGATGGTTATTTTTATTACTCTGGTGTCAGTGGTAGCATCCCCTTTGTTATTTCTAATTGTGTTTATTTGGATCTTCTCTCTTTTCTTCTCTATTAGTATAGCTAATGCCCTATCTATCTTAGTAATTTTTTTCCAAAAGCAAATATTGAATAGTTTTTCTTCTTTTGATTTCTTTCATCTCAGCTCTGATTTTGGTTATTTCTTGTCTTCTGCTAGCTTTGGGGTTAATTTGCTCTTGCTTCTCTAATTCTTTCAGTTGTGATGTTAGACTGGTAATTTGCAAACTTTTTAGCTTTTTGAGATGGGCATTTAGTGCTATGAATTTTCCTCTTAAAACTGTTAGCTCTGTCCCAGAGATTCTGGTATGTTGTATCGTCGTTCTTATTAGTTTCAAAGAACTTCTTGATTTATTTCTTAATTTCATTGTTTACTCAAAAGCCATTTAGGAGCATGTGGTTTAATTTCCATGTAACTATATGGTTTTGAATGACTGCTTTAGTCTTGATTTCTATTTTTATTACACTGTGGTCTGATAGTGTGTTTGGTATGATTTTGGTTTCTTTTGCATTTGCTGATAATTGTTTTATGTTCTATTTATGTGGCTGATTTTAGAGTATATGCCGTATGAGAATGAGAAGAATATATATTCTGTTGTTTTGGGATGGAGAGTCCCGTAGAATCTATCAAATCTGTTTAGTCGTGTTTATTTCAGGTCCTGAATATTTTTGTTAAATTTCTGCCTTGATGTTCTGTCTAAAACTGACAGTGGAGTGTTGAAGTCTCCAGCTATTATTTTGTGTGAGTCTAAGTCACTTTGTAGGTCTCTAATCCAGGTGCTCCTGTGTTACATACATATATATTTAGGATAGTTAGGGCTTCTTGTTGAATTGAACATTTTACCATGATGTAATGCCCTTCTTTATCTTTTTTGATCTTTGTTTGTTTAAAGTCTGTTTTGTCTGAAATTAGTATTGCAGCCCATGCTTTTATGCTGACTTACACTTGCTTGGGTAGATTTTCCTCCATCCCTTTGAGACTATGAGTCTCATTATAAGTGAGATGGATGTTTTAAAGACAGCATACCATTTGGTCTTGCTATTTTTTCCAGCTTGCCACTCTGTACCTTTTAAGTGGGACATTTAGCCCATTTACATTGAAGAATCTATTAATTTTTACAAAAGTATATAAAAAGTATTTTACGAGAAGTTTTGAGCAAACATTGGAAAGGGATCATAGAAATGAAGTAAATGTGTCTTGAAAATCTAAATGAATTTCTGTTTATCAGATAAATAAATCTGTTAAATGAATCCAAGACAAAACTAGGACATTTCACAATACATGATGCAAGCATAACTTGGCCATACTTGATATTGATTCATGAAATAAATTTTCAAGGAGAAAAAAGTGGTATCACATTTAGGTTTGCAGAGTCCCCTGGACTTCACATAAAGAACAAGTATAAGTCTGGGGAGGATGAAAGGGTGGGAGCAGTATTCTGTAAAACTCACAGTCAGGCCAAAGGTGCATGATCAGATCAATTCTTGCTTAAAACAAAGTGTCCTATAGGGGACCATCAGCCTCTGTCCCAAGTGTCTTGGTTACCTAACTTAGGGATATTAAATATTCTTTCATCAGGTTCTTCTCATACTCAGTATGAGTGTCTTCGGGGTTTTCCCATATGCAAGCAGGTGATATTTAGACATGAAAATTGGGAAGTACAGCAGGTATGCCAAAATCAGACATGATATTTATGTAGTCAAATTCTAGGAGATCACATGGGCAGAGTTAGCAGATTATTGACCAGCTTGTTGTAAATTATTGTTTTCACATGGGTCCAACTAGAAAGGAATGGGTGATCTCCCATTTATATTTTATAAAACTATCTGCCAAATTTGGATAGGCTCTAAGTGACTTCAGGACACAAAGAAAGTAACTTTGTTTTTCATTTTGCCTTGATTATATATTCAACCACAAAATATAAAATGAACTGTTTGTTTTTCATTTAACTATCTGGCTATTTGCATGGTAACCTTCTATTACTGCAACTTAGTCTGCTTTATGTAAAATGTTAACCTCAGGGTTTAGGCAAAAATATCTGAGAATTAATTATGAAGGCATTGGGATATATAAAAATATTATATAAATATAAAATAGCTAATAAAGTTTATTGGCCAAATATACTAGTATCTTTTATTACTGTGTTCTCATGAAACTCAGGAAATGTTTCAAAAACACATACTTGCAAAATTGTTCTATTTATAGTTTAGATTAATTTGTAAATATTTCTGATAATTTGAATTATATTGTATTATATTAGCTTTTATCCTTCACTGGCTTTTATAAGTTGGGCAAATACAATACTATGAAGACGTGTATCTGTATTCAATTAAATAATTTCAAAAATCAGAG